AGTGGTGACATCTGAGTCCTTGGATCCCGTCATTTCCTAAGAGACCCACCTTTGGACATTGTGGCACTGCCTTTGATACATATCTAAAGCACAGAAGCTGGGTACTTTTTTTTTTTTTTTTAAGAGAGAGAGAGAGAGAAATTTTAATATTTACTTTTTAGTTTTCGGCGGACACAACATCTTTGTTTGTATGTGGTGCTGAGGATCGAACTCGGGCCGCACGCATGCCAGGCGAGTGCGCTACCACTTGAGCCACATCCCCAGCCCCAAAGCTGGGTACTTTTAAAGAAAAGAGGGTTAGTGAACTCACAGTTCTGGAGGCTCAAGGCCATGGTCTGACACTGGTTCAGGTCTGGAGAGGACCTCTTGGTAGATGTCATCAAAAAGGCAGGAGCAAGTTCCAGAGGGAGAGATCAGAGGATGGGATAAGAAGCCAGCTGGGGTCCACGAGGGCTATGTCAGTCCCTTCCAAGGGCACACCCCAGTGGCCCAACCACCTCCACCAGGCCCTGCCTCTTGAAGGTCCCACTACCCCACAAATGCTGGGGTCACACAGGGACCAAGCTTCCCACACGTGAGCCTTAGTGGGGACACTCTCAGACTGCCTCCAGCTACAGTTGAACAAACCTGCAGCACAGTGCAGAGTGTAAACACTGGATCTAACCTGCCGTGTTCCAACCCCAGCTACTCTGTTGACTGGTTTATGTGACCTCAAAAAGCTTAGTCTCTCTAGATTCTAATATAAGTCCTTCAGTCCTTTATCCACACTTCACAACCCCAAACACTGAAAACCAGATTACTGCAGATGAATTAGAGGCAAAATCCGTCCTGAAGTTATATAAATGAGGCTGTTAATAGATTTTGTGCCTTTTCATGTTCTGAGTGTCACTGGGGTGCTGGCTACTGGGTTCCGCCCAATTTCTGTGGGACTGTATCTGCATCATCTCTCTCTCAAGTGGGATGCAGAGTCGAGAGAGCAAGAGGCATCCTCGGGGCACTCCTAGGAAAACCAAAGCAGGTGGAAACAGGATCCGATAAGTAGAGCTTCTGGCCCTCTTGGAGCTCTGACAGCTCAGACCACGCTGCAGGTCGGACGAAGCTGCAGCCAACCCAAGGGCCAGCTCCGAGTGGGATTCTGGAGCACAGACTAGCTAAGTAAGGGGTCTGATGTTGGGTAGAGCCGGTGAGGTCCCCAGGCCCTGCTGTGCCCCATCCTTGGCTGAAGGCTGTGGAAGAGTAAAGTGGCCTTGGCTTGACAGCTGAGGCCGGTCTTGAAGGAACTCTGGGCTGGAGGCTGGAGGGTATGGGCTGACTACATTAATCACTGCTGAACAGAAAGTCTTGAGGACATCCAAGAGGTGCAGAGCTCCATGGTTGCCAACATAGCTTTGTTTTTTTTTTTTTTAAACAGCTTTAGTGATGTATGATGTAAATTTCACTCACAGGAGTACCGTTCAATGATTTTATTCAATGTCCCCAGTTGTGCAGCCATGATTAGAATCCAGGTTTAGAATGTTTCCATTGCCCCCAAGTGATTGCTGCCTATTTTTACTTCTACGCTAGCCACAGGAAACCGCTCATCTGCTTTCTACCTATCCAGTTTAGGGCTCTAGAAATTTCACCATACAACATGTAATCTCTTGACTCTGGATTCTCGGACGGATCATATTTTGAGGATCACGCATCTTGTTGTGCAGGGCCACGCCTTGTCTTTCTGCTGTGGAGTGGCCTTCTGTAGCACGGAGGTACTGCGTCTGCTTAGCCCGCTGTCAGCTGGTGGGCAGCGTGGCTTTGGCCTGATGTGAACGATGCTGCTGTGAACACGCGCCTGCAGTCCTGTGGGAGATGGTTTCCTGTCTCCTGGCTCATCCGTGGGAGTGCGACTGCTGGTCGTGTGGTGAGCAAGTGGGATTCTAAGAGAAACTGCCAAGTGGTTCTTCAGACCGAGTATACCCTTGTCCAGCAGGGCATGAGTGTTCTGGTCGCTTTACATCTGGGTCAACTCTTGGTGTCCCCAGTCTTGTCGTTCCCAGCCCTTCTAGAGGGAGTGGAGCAGGCATCTCCCTAAGGACACGGGTGGAGCACCGGTTTTTGTGCTTAGTAATCACTCAGTATCTTCTCGTGTGAGGTGTTGTTAATGAGTTATGCGGGCTCCTTGCATACTCAGGATACTCGTCTTTTAGCCGATATGCAATGATAGTTTCTGGCTTGTCTATTCACTTTCTTAATGGTTTATTTTCAAGAGTAAATTTTAAAATTTTGATAAAGCCCAACTTTTGTTTTTATGAATTATGCCCTTAGTGTCGGATCTAAACCTGCCCTAACTCAAGGTGGCAGAGATGTCCTGCTCTGCTTTCTCCCAGACGCTATGTGATTTCAGTTCACACAGTAACTGGGGACTGTTTTGCCCTGGGGGAGATTCAGGACCGTCTGGAAACACCTTGACTGTCACAGTGGGTGCTACTGGCATCTAACAGGTGGAGCCAAAGATGCTGTTGAGCCTACCACATGCACAGGACAGCCTCTCCACCACCTTCCTGACCAGTGTCCCTGGTGCTGAGGTTGGAAGACCCAGCTTATCTTTTTGGCCCAATTTGAATACATTTTTGCATATGCTACTGAGATACAGATCTAAGGGCTTTTAAACTTTCCACCCCCCCACCCCCGAAAAGTTGTTAAAAGCGATATTCTGTTATCGTGGGTTGTCTTGCATCTTTGTTGAAAACCAGACCATAAGCGGGAGGATTGAGACCTGATTCCTACTGTGTTCCCTTATCTACATGTCTGTTCTGAGCCCAAATCACACTTCTAGCGATTTTGAAATCAGGTATTCTCAGTCTTTYAACTTTGTCCTTTAAAAAAAAAGTTGGCCTCCTAGTGTCTCTTTGTATTTTATTTTCTTATAAATTTTAGCGCCAGCTTTCCAAGTCTACAAAGAAACCACCCGGGGTTTTGATAGCGATTGCACTGCATTTTTATATCCACTTGAGAACTGCTTTCTTAGCAATATTGAGTTTTCTAGCTCACAAACTTCACATATTCTTCCATTTATCTAGGTCTTTAACTTCCATCAGCAATGTTTCATGTTTCAGTATACAGGTCTTAAACTTCTTTGCCAAGTTTAGTCCTTTTTTTTTTTTTTTTTAAAATGCTCCTATAAATGAAACTGCATTCTGAATTTCACTTCAAACTGCCTATTAACAATTACAGAATTATGACTCCATTAGTTTCATACATTAATTTTGTATCCTTAATCTTGCTAAACTTGTTAGTTCTAGTAAGTTTTTCTTTGATTCCTTATAATTTCCATGTGTATTTGTCACGAGGTTACTATAGATTCAGTCTGAGGCACAGTTACATTCAATCAAATCTATGTCACTAATGCTCATTCAATCAAATCTATGTCACTAATGCTCATCACACCTCAGACACACATCCTATTTCTAAGTCTTAACTAAGTCTACACCCAAGGGTTCCAGACACTCACCTGTGATGTGTCTTAAGTCTGGGTTGCTGGAACTTAATCGGTGCCACAGGAGTCTGGTGCGGGGGAACAACAGTGTCGGAGGCCTCGGTCTTTCTGTCCAGGTCCTGTTAGTCCCTTCGCCCCCCAGAAGTCTGGGTTTTTAAGTCCTGGTTCAGTTGTGCTTGCAGCTGATAAATGGATGGGGTCTGGGGTGTACGCCCTGGGTGTAGACTCTCATATCACTAACTTAAAGTCTATCTGAGTTCTGCAATTTATTTAAGTTTTGCAGTTCATATTACATCCTGGGCACATTTCTTATAATCATTTACTTATTCACTCAACATACACATAATTAATATAATCAATAGTCAATAATCCTACAATATTTCTGGTGCTCATATCAATAGTTCCATGAAATCTTGAGAATCATAAATTTTACTTCTTCTAATCTGTAGGCCTTGTATTCTTTTGCTTTCTTTCTTCTCTGGGTAGAAAGCCTATTATGCTGTTCAACAGATGGTGTGAGAGTTGCTCACTTTTCCAAATTAAAAACAAAATTCATAGTTCTGAGAACGTTCAGCCCTACCTGTGTTGGGTGAGGGATGGCAGACACACAGAAGCCGACCCAGAGGGCTGCGGAGGAGAAGGTGGGCAGCACATGCCGGCTTGGGGCAATGCCTAGCACAAGCCTGTCCTCCTACGGCATGGTTTTTGGGGTGTGAACCTTGACTGGCTGCTGGCAGGCTAGGACCAGGAACTGGGGTTGGCATGGGGACTCAGCCTTGCTGGGCGGAGGCTAGGCTGGTATTCCCTCCAGGGTGAAGCTGGTGGCACACGGGAGCCCTGTGGTGACTTGTCAGCCTCCTTGGGAACTCTGGGTACTGGGAGCTGTGGACACGGGGAAGGGCATGGACTTGGGGTGCTGGGCTGAAGTCCAGCCATTGCCAGACAATGAGCAGCACGGGGGACTGTGGGCGAGTGCTGTTAGGAACACGGAACACCCTCATTTCCAGCCACAGCTACCTCGTCTCTCAAAGCCTTGTTCTAACCACTGGTCCATCATAACTATTGAGGGATTTGACATCTATCTGAGCTGGGAACGAGAGCTGAGATGAGTGACAGTAAGTAACAGAAAGGGACAGTTCCATGACGAGCTCTTGGTGGCATCTTCAGCCTCGCCTGGTCTTGGTGCCGCTCCTTTAGGAGGCTAGCTGGTTCATCCCCAGCTGAGGATCCCCCACGGGCAGCAGCTGAGTTCAGTTGTGCTTGCAGCTGATAAATGGATGGGGTGTGGGGTGTATGCCCTGGCGATGCTCCAGGGCCACACACGGCACAACTCGTCTTCACACGACACTCCATACCTGTCTTCCTTAATCACTGTGAGGCCAGATGCACAGATTTCACCTTAGTAACTAACAGACGACCTTCATACCTAGTATGTGATACGCTAAAAAGACCTTCGAGTTGAAGCCAAGAAACTGCCGGGGCTCACTGACTGTTCTGAGTAATAAAAAACTTAAAAGAATTTCCACTCTTTATTTGAAAGTACAGTGCTTTAATGACAAGATTCTGCCATCTTTTAATGTGATTATCATTGAGATAAAAAGAACAGGTTTATATAGAAAGGACCCAGACAGGGTGGGCTATGCCTGTCTGAAACATGAGCTCCCTCACGTGAGACGTAGGACAGCACCTCACCCCCAGGTAGACCTGTGCTATCGGGCTCCTTCTCTTCACCATCCACTCCCAACCTGAGCATCCCAGGACGGCTTTGCAAGCTGTCTTCAGATGCCATGTGCTGGTGTCTTCGTCACTACAGCAACAGGTAGTTTTCAAAGGCGCAGACCTTGTGCTGAGTGATGGAATCTAGGGAGAGAGATGAGCAGTCAGGCATTTAGGACAGCGAATCATATCACAGCAGAGTAATGACTTCAGGTGTACCACCTGTCCTGGTAGCACCTGTGGCTTTCTAATAAACTAAAATAAAGCAAACGTCTTCAGAACGCCAGGCACACTGCCACAGCCACATGTCCTGTTAGGTTACTGCACACAGAGGACATTTCTATTATGACAGAACATTCCGTTGGAAATGCAGAGACCTGAATTTTAACCTCAGTTAGCCACCTCAAATAATACTCTGGTACAACACAGGGTATAAATAGACATTCGGAGGCGTTTTAATTGTGACATTAACATGATCCATGCTGTGCCATTCTACCTGCCTAGTGGGTACTTTATATGGAATACAAAGTCAAGCACAATCCCAAAACTGGCTTGCTATGGTTCAAGTGCAGAGGCGGCACTGGTGAGCTCTGAGGTCCTCTCAGTGGGAAACACGACTGTTTTATGAAAACTGCCAGTGGTGTGGGCCTGGGAGAGCATGGCAGGTGCAGCAGAGTGCCAACACGGCTGTCCAGCGGCTGGCTGCAGCGTCCCTTGCTCCCTCCTCAGGACCAGAGAGCTCTCTGCTCAACATTCTGCTCCCATAACCAGAATGAAGGAAGAATGTAGCTGATGGGCACCGAGGGCTGGATCACAAGATGAGTTCAATCAGCTGAGTTCAACCACTGCCAATTATACCAGGAAGTCATCCTACAGTTGTGTGTGTGTGTGTGTGTGTGCGCGCGCGCGCGCACACACACACTGGGAATCGAACCAAGGGCCTTGTGCATGCCAGGCAAGCACTCTACCAACTGAGCTATCTCCCCAGCCCCTATAGTTATATTTGAAGGACATGGAAGAAGCCACACTGAAGAACATGAAGGATGGAAAGCTATGATGGCTTGGGGACAAAGAAAAACATGGTTTATTCTATGAATATAGAAGAGAAAATGGAGGAAAAAACAGCTTGTCCGAGCTGTGGCTTAAGTGCCCCAGGGTCTACCTGTGGCCCTCCCAATACCAATGTGCTCACACAGGAGGTCTGAGCTGGTGAGGAGTCCTCCGATGGACTTCAGCAGGGAGGAACAGGGACATTTGTGTACCTATCATCCATCGTCTTCTGTCTGTCTATCTGCATCTTCTCACATACATAAATACGCACAATACATGACTATTACTAGTATTAGGCATACCATAATCCATCTCAGTGAAGTATTATTATTTCCATGTTAATATATTAGTCTTTATTTGTGATACATGTTGCATATATTTTCTCTTCTTGTCATTTGTCTTTTGACTTCTCTTGTGCAAAGTTTTGCCAGGCAAAAGTTTTATATTTTTTATGTACTCATAAATATTCCAATATTTTGTTCTGTTGCCCTGAGTCATAGGTAGTAAGCTGTTTCCTCAATCCAGATTATAAATAATTCTATGAATGCAACTTTTACACTTAGATTTCTTATTCGATCTGGCATTTGCAAGTCGGATGGCATGATGTTCTACTTAATCTGAAAATTCAATTAAAAAATTTAAAACTTTAAAAAAGAAAATTGACATATTCATTCTAAAGTGTATGTGAAAGAGGAAACACCAGAAATATAATTTTGAAAAGGAGAAATAATGAGAGTGAGTTTGACCAACCAGATACAGAAAAATCATTCTGTATTACACTATAAAATAATTAGACCGGGGCTGGAGTTGTAGCTCAGTGGTAGAGCACTTGTCTTGCAAGTGCGATGTACTGGGTTCCATCCTAGCACCACATAAAAACAAATAAAGGCATTGAGTCCATATACAACGAAAAAAAATTAAGAAAAATAATTATATTGTCCTGTGTAATGCTGAACTGTAAAATCACATGTGCTTTGCACAAAACGGACAGATAGATGGATGGAGGAGAATAACCAGAAGCACCCTCACATACATGGGAATTTACAAGAGCTTTCCAGGGAGGCAGTTAAATCAGTGGAAGATGGATGTGTGATCGAGCAAATGGCAAGGCCCCCATCAGGGCTCACAATAGACAGGCTGCAGCCAGAGCAACAGCTTTCTAAACATTAATAGGAACTACAAACAGAAGATCCAGGAGACTATCTTTAAAGCTCAGGGACGAGAGAGACCTGAAAAAGTCAAAGTACTGAATTTAGATGCCATGGAAGAAGAGCAGTATTTGATTTTACAAAAACAATAACTGAAAATTAAAATCTCTGTAATACTGAGCACAACATAAAACCAAAGTGTCAGAATTTTAAACCATTTATAACAAATGATCAGAGTCCGTATCATTTCAGTATCACTATAAAACAATGGAAAAGATAACTTCATTTAAAAATAGGCAAGAGATAAGGACAGACAATTCATGAAAAATGAATCCCTTTGCTAATCTATTCGTATGCATTAGTAACTTAGTCCCTGGGGAACTGCGAATGAAATATTGAGATTTGTTTTAAGTCATTGCAAATCCAAACAATGCCACACTGCAAATATGGGCAATGCCCTGCATCTTTGAGGAAAGGAATTCACAGCTGTGAAAAGCAGGCTTGTGTATCAAACCTAAAGCATCTACCCTAGGCTGCAGCCATTACTCTCCTATGAATATACTGCACACATATGTTCACTTGCCCAGGATTGGGCTACAATAAATACAGAGCAAGACAACCTCTAAAAACTGAGTTCAAATTGTTTCAATGGACACACACACACACATAGCTAAAGTATCAGAAACAGAGGAAACAACCCAAATGCCCAATAATAGGTCGTGCCTATTATTAACACAGTAGCTCTGATGTCTCAAAAGAACAAACCAGCTGTGATAAATGGGGAGGATCCTCTCGACCCAGGTAAATGAAAACTCATGGAAAATATGTGGTCAACTATTCATATCAGAACAAATCCCCCAATAATACCTAATTTTTACATTTATTTATTTCCATGGAAATGTGTTTTTAAAAATCACGAAGACAAGGTTCTATCTTTATTGTCATTACTTTAAGGAGGAACCGAGGCCTGGAGGACCCTTGCACTTTGGTTTGAGTTCTTTGACCATGAAGTCAGGGATCATGCCATCAGTCCTCGCCTGCCACCACCCACATCCATCCTTTCCTCTGCTGCAGGAGGAAGGCTGGCTGGAGAGGTACTGATTTTAAATTTAGGCGAGATGGAAGACACCTAGCTGTCATCTCACAACACAGGTGTAGACCCCTCATGCCTCTCATGCTGTGTGGTGACTGTGCTGCGTGGGGAGTCACCCTTAGGCTTCAGAGAGGCGGCACTGAGTCCACACGCGGGGTGACAGACCTGGGGGTTCCATAGAGGGGCATTTGGTAGAGGTGTGAGGGCTGGAAGCAGGAGAGCCAGGCCCGCGGCTCCAAGCTCCCCATGACCCACACACGGGAAGGATGGTTTCTACCCAAGTTGATCCGGCATCTGCAGATAGCCACGTCCCCTGATTCCAAAGTCACATTATAGGAATAATCTTCCCACACCCAGTGAAATGTGACCATAGGAGAGAAGTGAGCAAGGCCAGTACTAGTAAGTGGACACACACACAGTAAATCACACTGCACCGAGCAGCTCCAGGAAAAAAGAAACCAAAACTTACACAAAACAAAACAAAAACAACACTATTTATCAAGCTTTGGCACACATTCATGCGAAAGCTGAAGTGTACTGGCCACACTCCTGTGTGGTCTCTTGCTTAGGACATGGAATCAGCCCGCTGCCAACACGGATTTCTTACAGTACGGCAGGCAAACCCCATTATTTAAGTTAAAACTCTGATTGCCAACAGCTGAATGTGGCTGATGGTGCTGGGTGCCAAGTTCAAGAGCACGAGGGACCCTATGAAGAGCCTTATCTTTGCTTCTCAAAACAAACCAAGAATCTCAGGGCTGGGAGGAACACCAACAGTCATGAAGCCAGACGCCCATTCAGTTAGGGCATCACCTCTACTTCCCTGAGGAACGAAGGTCACCCAGCCTCTGGGGACACTCAGGCAGGGGCCTCACTACTTGAGACATCCCTTGGCAGCAGAGCCCAGTTCCTAACATCCTTTCTCACAGTGAGCCCAGAGCTGCCCACGGTGCACCTCTCACTGCTGACCCTGGACCACTGGCACAGGCCTCTCCTGCTTTCCCATGGCGTCCTGCAGGCAGCTCTTCTGCAGACGGAGCAGGCAAGCTGGGTCCCCCTCCTGCTTCCTGGGCACCTCACCTACCACTGCTGGGATGCTTGGAGCTCAAGGCTGGGCGTCACCTTCAATTCTTCTCAGCAAGGGCAAATGGCTCCGAGATTTAGACTGAGAATCTGGTGACTTCACCTGTATGGATATTAACTTCATCCTAAACACCATCACCGAGCCACTGAACCGCTTCAAGAGCCCAACCACCCGCCTTCTGCTTCTCCTTAAAACATGTATCAGCCCGTTTCCCTTCCTGACGTCTGCGTAACAAAAGCCACACTCTGACCCTGTCTGTCAAGATCCTGGGCCATCTGCGGGATCCACAGCCCCATCACCGCCCCTCGGCACCCTCCCTTCACTTCAGCTCCCCCAGCCCGCTGCTTCTCCTGACTGCGCAACCTCCACACTGCTCCCTGGCCTGACAGGCCAGCCCTGGAGGCTGCCCCAGTCCTCCCCTCTGATCTGGGTCTCAGCTCCAACGCCGCTGTCAGCTGTCACTGCCACTCCTGATAATCACATCCCATTTTGTCACAGCATAGACCTCCATAAGGATGAATTTAAATTTGTTTTCTGTCTTCTCACCTAGAATACAGGTCCCACAGGGGCAAGGACTGTATTTCTCTTGTCAACTGCTACACCTGAGTGCCTAGGAAACGGTTAGCACAGAAGAAGCGCAAAATCAATAGCTACTGACAAATGACCCAGCAACCTGACACCACGGGGTGTGTTTGCAGGCAATGGCTGGGTCCCACGGTCCTATCAGCTGACACCGACTGGAGACATCACAGCCCACACTTCACCAAGA